TTCTCGGAAGAAAGCTCCCCTAGCACTCTGAAGCCTCTTGCTCTGCCTTCCTTTTTACAGCTCTTCTCTCTCCCTGGCTTCAGAGAAGGTATTTCATATTTACTGGCTTACTGATGGCCTCCCCAGCTTAGCAGGCAAGCACCCTATAGACAAGAATTTTCTCTCTGCTGCCGATGTTCCCCCAAACATCTGGAAGCTCTGTGAACCCCCACGCAAGCCCAGATTGAACTGCTCTTGGCCACGCTGCCATGGGCTTGCCTGCCAAAAGCGATCCCAAACACAAAGGCAATCCACTTGGAACCAACCTGAAGCATTGTAGCAGTACGTGTCGTACTGGGAGGTGTTGGAGGTGAGGATGTACACCCCTGTGTTGTTTGCGGCACAGATGGGGTTGGGGTGGATGCGGGGAATCACCACGTGCCCTTCTATGAACCCGTACCTGCAAAAGAAACAGCAGCGGTTAGCCACCTGCGAGGCCGGGACGGTATCTCATCCCATCCCATCAAATGACATGTCATGCAGCGCAAAGCTTCATTCAACTCACCCTGAAGGGACGTTTAAGGTTTCAGCCAGTGAGTTATGTGAAATCCAAAAATAACAGCAGAGGCAGTGTGAGAGGGACCAAGGCTGATAGAAACAAAGTGATTTCATTTAGGGCTCTATAAAGCTTTTCTTTTTTTAAAAAAGAGATTCGTGAAAGGAAATAGTTTCAAATAAAAGCTGTGGTCAAGTCAGTTTAGACAAGCAGAAGGAAGTCCAAGTCACAGAAGAGAAAAGAATGACCACTTTATGATGTGGATCCACGGTGGCTCCCCACGACTTTCATACTTTTTCAGAAAATGCATAAAATGACCAGCTCCCTTACGATAGAATTAGGTGGCTGATCACTTCAGCCCACAAATGTCAAATCTGCCTCATTTCCCATCCCCACGCTTCTCTCCTCGCCTCGCCTTTTCCTGTGATCCCTTCGTTCCAAACTCCGTTACTCTCCACACGAAGGCTTGTTCATATGCCAGATACATGAGCGATTCGCCTCAGGAGCATCCCAGGCAGAATTTCATTGCCGGGGGAAGTAAATTGACCGTCATTAAAATAGGAGGAACAGCGATTAAATCAGTAGATAGCAATGCCTCATTTAGCTCAGGAATTTTCCAGAAGCATCACAGCCAGAGAAGCATTTAAACCGCTCTGCATCCCCCTCCCCCAAGGTATTTCTGGGAGCATGTTGGAGCTGGAGACCCTTTCAGATAAAACATACAGCACCCAGCCTCTTCCATCAGCATCACGGTGGCTAGTCGCTGCACAATTTCCCCGGAATATAAATGCCTCCAACAAAAAATTTGCAAGGGACGAAGGAGAAGATAAATCCAGTAGGTTTTTTTGGAAAATGCAAAGCTAAGGCACAGCTTTGATCCTTTTAATCTCTCCTGACGATAGCAACAATAGAGCATGACCCTGCAAGACCCGTGGAAATGGCTGTGAGTTTGAAATTTCCAAGCACATAGAACTCATTAAGTCTATGTTGCAATTGCAGCTCGCATGACTAATTCCTCATCTAAACAGACAGACTGGTTTCTCCAAAGACTCCTTAGCTTGGTCGGGGGAGGGGTCGCAATTAAATGTCAGTAAGTTTCCATCTATCTGAGAATTGCTACTAATCAGGGTGGGGCAGACAGCTAAGGTTTTCTCATAGCCTGCGACTCTGCCATCTGTGCTATGGCACATAGCTGATTCATTGCTACCTAAGTGAAATTATGGAAATGCGTTTTGCAATGCTTACTTTCAGCTATGGGTGGAACCATAGGTTTCTTTGGCATAGTGTTTCTCTTTTTCTTTTTTAAATGGTAATACCCGGTGAGCCTACTCCCATCCCACCCTTACTGCATGCACCAAGTCTGTTGTACACTGACAATCTAGAGTAGTTGTTCTCAACTTGTGGGTCGCGACCCCTTTGGGGATCAAACGACCCTTTCACAGGGGTCGCCTAAGATCATCAGAAACCACATATATAATTACATATTGTTTTTGTGATTAATCACTATGCTGTAATTATGTTCAATTTGTAACAATGAAAATACATCCTGCATATCAGATATTTACATGACGATTCATAACAGTAGCAACATGACAGTTATGAAGTAGCAACGAAAATACTTTTATGGTTGGGGGTCACCACAACATGAGGAACTGTATTAAAGGGTCGCGGCATTAGGAAGGTTGAGAACCACTGACCTAGAACCTACATTCCCTTGTTAAGTTATTCTTGAGTTTTTACCACATCACGTCGACAGCCAGTTTTGTGTGTCATGGCCAGTTTTGGTGTCACACTGTACATTTGGGGATATTAACATTTACATGTGTGTATATTGCATGAGTAGGTTGCTGTTCACAGAGAGAAAAGAAATACTCAGCACATCCGTGAGTCATACCTGCATCTCCCCTTTGCTCTCAGTCCTTCCTTGGGGTTTGGTCATTAAAATCTTGCCCTGGGCTCAGGTGAAGTAGGACCTGAATCTGGACTCCTCCCCACGCCAGTGATGTGGCCCAGGGTGAGCTGGGGAACTTCTCTGAGCTTTTGTTGCTTCACCCATAAGTAGGGTAATATAATCTACCGTGGTGCCCTTCAAGGATTAAGTGAGGGGTTGTGGGCAAGTGCCCAGTATCTGTGCGCTCACTGATGGGCAGTGGAAAGAGTAATAATTTCCCTCTTTTTCAGCCTAGGACAGCAGTTCTCAACCTCTGGGTCACGACCCCTTTGGGGGTCAAACGACCCTTTCACAGGGGTCACCTAAGACCATCCTGCATAGCAGATATTTACATTACGATTCATAACAGTAACAACATGACCGTTATGAAGTAGCAATGAAAATAATTTTATGGTTGGGTCACAACATGAGGAACTGTATTTAAAGGGCCAAAAGGTTGAGAACCACTGGCCTAGGAGAACATGTCTGTATTTTGTAAGTAGGCCTTGTCTGCATTTCACAATCAAAATTCAGCTCACTTAATCCGCTCCCTTAGTGGATTTCTCTAGCTGACCTAGTCCCAGCCATGGTTAAACAATTAGTCTTGGGAATAGAATCAATGGATGTGCTAACTGCAGACCACAGCGCAGGGTGAGCAGCCAGCAGAGCTAGCTCCCTTTCTCTGCTCCTTCCATGTTCTCGCCAACGTATCTCTGAATGCATACAGATGTCTTCTACAGCCGCTCTCTGCTTTAGAGCAATGCTGCGCAATACAACTGTCTGTGATCGTGGACACAGTCTGTAATCAATGTTGTCCCATACAGGAGCCACTAGCCATTTGTGGCTAGTTGAGCACTTGAAATGTAGATTGCTGCAAGTTACTGTTTAAGACATAAAGGTTTTCCTTTTGAGCAAGAGCCTCCCCTACCGCTCATAAAGTGGGTATCTTACTCTCTAAACCAAGAGTGGAGATTGATGTATTGAATGTTCCTGGTGTCATTCCATTGCAAAAGCACAGAAGGGGTAGCGGTGGACTGGGACGGAAACCGAGCAGTTGTTCAGATGACTTAGAGTGTGTCTAGTGAAGACCAACCAAAGCATACACTTCACTGTGGCCTTCACCACAGCTTGCTGTTAAAGTGCACCCCTCACCGAGGGTTTGAGGAAAGCTCCACGGAGCACGTGGTCTCCACAGAAGCTGCCCAGGAGACCCTCCTGAGTCCCTCCCATTCTTTCCCAGTTGCTGGTAATTCGTCTTAATAATTTTCATGCCCCCCCCCCCCTTTTTTTCAACCCTCTCAAACTAAAGCAACATAGAAGAGAATAGAGAAACAAACAGAAAGAGAAGGTTGCTTGAAAAATCTGCTTTAAGCCAAGTCACCTTCGTTGCAGGCTCAATCCTGGCCCAGTCAGAGCCCATGCAGGAGGCAACCAATCAATGTCTCTCTCTCACATTGATGTTTCTCTCTCTGCTACCCCCTCCCCCCCCCTTTTTTTCATACCTCTCGGAGAAGATTAAAAAAGAAGAGAATAGAGAAACAAACAGAAAGAGAAGGTTGCTTAAAAAATCTGCTTTAAGCCAAGTCTGCAGGGCCTAGACTCCGCCAGGCACATATTTATTTTAATCCCTGTTATTTGGTTTACGTTTTCTTGCGGTTCCGACAACAGTATTGCACGTTTCTTCAAAGCCAGGCGAGAGCCATGTGGAAGCACGGCAGGCATTAGGATTCCGGCTGTTGACCCTTAATGGCCTCCTCTGGGCAGCCCCGGGCAGCCCCGCTATCATTTACAAGGGTGTCTTTAGAGCGCTTTAAATTTCCACTGTCAGGCAAGTTCCAGATTGACGTGCCAAATTAATAGGTGAGGCCAACAGGCAATCATCCAATCAGATACCAGGGAGGAGCCTTCCCGGTGCTAAGCCCCACCCCCTCGGCCAAGGCAGCCAGCGCTCTCAGTGGGCTCTCACCTGCAGGTCTCAAACCCCGCTTTCCAGGCTTCCTCCATCTGGGCCATGGTGGGCAGGGTGCAATCGAAAGCCTTGCAGAGGTCAGCTGCCTCAGTCCGTGAGATGCTGTAGCGACCATTTTTCTCCACATGGAATACGCCTGCGTACCGGCAGGTTACATTCAAATCTATGGGATGAAACAAGAAATGTTAATATTTGTTTGCATACATAATGAGGGAGGGGTAAGAAGTTTGGTTTTGAGCAGCCTTGTTCAAAAAGCCAGATAAACTTCTCTCCTGCTCCAACATTCCAAAGCACCATCACACTAGGCTCAAATTTGAGCTAAGACACAAATAAGTCCCATCCCTCCGACTTCCTCTCCATCAATTGCTGCACAACAAACTCCTTTAAAAGCATATGATTGGGAGCGCTGCTAACCACATTGGGTTTAGCGCTGCTTGCTTGAAATCGAATTTTGCTCAAACTCTTAAAATGTTGAATAAGCCTCAGTTTGTCTCTCATGGCGCAGCCACTTTAAAAGGCCATTTGACGGCTTCTTACAAAACTAAGCATTCTCTTACTATTTGATTCAGCGATCACACTCCTGGGTAGTTCCACAAAGGAGTTGAGAACTGAAGTCTACACAAAAACCTACACACAGCTGTTTGTTCACAATTGCCAAACTTCACAATCAACCAAGATATCCCTCAATAGGTGAATGAATAAGTAAAATCAAAAAGCATATGACTTATGTCTGATTATTAAAGCAATACAAACTTGTTGAAAACTTACAAAATTCTGGAAAGGAAGGAAGGAAAAGCCAGTCCACCACTAAGAAAGCATGGCTTCTTAGTGACTCTTAAACATTTTGTTGCATCTTCTTTTAGTTTGTTTTCTGAATGTGTGTATGTGTGTTTCTAGTTAAAATAATACTAAATACACAATTTTAGATTTGGGAGTCTTTTCTCCCCACACTTTCCCACAATCATGTGGTCTTGCTCCCTTGCTTAGAATCTCCACTGGCTTCTGGCTCCACCCAGAATAAATAAGATCTTATCTGCTGATCTATCTCCCTCTCTAAACTTTAAGTAGCTCGCTCTGCTCCAGGTACAGAGCTTCCCTTCAGTTCCTTTGGGCATTCTGGGCTCTTTCCCACCTTCCAACATTCATATCTGCCTTTCCCACTGTCTGGAATGTTCTGTCCTCGGATTATCCCATTCTTGTTTGTCAACTCCACATCACCTCTTAAGAGTCCTTCCTGAACACTCTAATCCAACTCGAGGCGCCTCCCTCACCTCACCTGGCGTTTGTGTCTTCACAGCAAGGTGTTTATTTATTTGTGCGTTTAGTTATTATCCATCTGCCCTTTCTGTGATGGAAGCTCCAAAAAAAAAAAAAAAAAGGAAAGGCCTTCCACTGGTTTACAGCTGTGTTCTAATGCCCACAACAGTACCTGACAGAGAGGGGATGCTCAACGAATATTGTTGAATGAATGAACGACTCATTAAAACATCTTCAAAAACACACTTGTAACTTCTTGACAGATAGGTCTGAGGCCTGATGTTCGCTCCCAAGAGTTACCGACATCCCCTAGGAAACCTAACTGCTATTCGTTGGTGAAAGTGATCTGAGCCACGGACTTCTGGGAGTTTTGCAAATATTAATCTGAAATCTCAATAAGGAGCTGAACAATCCTCTGGTTCCATAGGATCCTCTGTAACAATCTCAAAAGACTGAAAAGGCCTTCATTGAAAACTCATTATTTTTCTGGAACTGTTATCCCGGTGTGCACTTGAGTAAGCTCCAACACCGAAAGGTTACGTTATTGACACCGTCCTGGTGAAGCCTAATTCCTCCTGAGCACTTCCTTGAGCCTCCAAGACAGGAGGACTCTTGGACTCTTGCCGACAGTTCCTTGGGGACTGGTGGACCTTGTGCCAGACCAGGCATCACTGTGTTAGTTACAAGCCAGGTCTGGATTCCGACAGATCTGGATTTAACTCAAACTCTCTCTCTCATGTGTGCAGGTCTGCAGACCATCAGGAAGATTCTGCATATTAATCAGCAAGAACGTTGAGACTCAGAGAACTGAGTTGCCCAAGGAAGTGAGGATTTCCGTCTCAAGCCTGTAGTCACTTTCCAGAATCTCAGGTGCTTTGTTCTATATCTGAGCCAATAGCCCGGGTAGGGGAAGCCCACTACTGCATTGTCTCTGGGTACCCGGAACCTCTGGGGTTCTGTGTTGCATCAGCTTCCGAGAACCCCGGGGGCGGGGGGTGGTTAATGTATATCTGTACATATTACTTATAGGTGGAAAAACTAAAGCTCAGAAAAAGTAAGCAACTCTCCCAGCTATTAAGTGGCAGAGCTGGAATTTCATCTTAGCTCTGTTTAGATATGAAACCCATGTTCCAAACCACCTTGCCACTTGCCCTAGGATCCTGTGTTATTAGAACAATATTTTGCTCTGAAAGAGAGAGGAACGCCTACGCCACTGGGACATGAGAGCAGAGAGAGGGTCAGTACGATTGAGCTGTACAGGCAACAAGGACTCTCTCCTTTCTGAGCAGGAAGCAGGTTCCCACCCCTAGAAAACAGTGTCAGACAAATGCAAAGTCTGGTGACAAGTGAACTGTTAAACGTCTGTATGCCCTTTCCTGACTCGGAAAACAGGGAGAGAAGAGAAACAAGCAATGACGCTTTGAAAAGACATACTAGTAAGCCAATCTCAACTGGTTTTTGCCTTTGTTTGCATCATGAACATGGAGGTGCTTTAAAAAACTTCAGAAGTAGGAGAAATGGAGAACGTGTGTTTTGGTGTGAGATTATTCCTTTTTGTCTGTAACGGTGTCCCTCTTAGCCAGTCACACAGCACGTGGCTGATGAAGCAAACGAAGCAGAGAGGAGGGAACCACACAAGGCCCTTTTGAAATACTGTTTGTTTTTACGGACATTTTCAGCTTTGGCATCGGTTGGCCAATCTTAGCAAAGGGAACCTGTCACACTGGGTGGCAGCCCTTTCGGGGGTCTAGCCACCAAGGAAAAACAAAGCGTCCCCATTCGCTTCTTGGAGGTGAGGCTGGGAGGGGAGACTTCAGTAGATGGCAGGAGAGGCCCACTGCCTGTCGGTGCTCAGCCAGGCGGCCGCTATCACTCCCGGTTAAAAAGTAAGGCTGAGGCGTGGCGGAGGTTTGGCGCTCCGTGGCAGTTTCTGTCTTATTAAAATAGATTCTAGTTTGCTGCCTGGCACACAGATATGCAAAGGCAACAGGAACCAATTCAGGTTGAGACTTTAGAATAAAACCCTTCCTGCCACAGCCAGTGTAACTTGACAGACAATACCCGCATGCATTGTGTGAGTGTGTCTGTATGTGTGTATGCAAGTAGTGGTGTGTGTTTGTGTATACTCTGCTCAGCCAAGACAGGAAGAAACAGGTAAACTTAATCTTCAGCCCCAGGTTTAAACAAGGTCTGACAGACAGCAGGCATCAGCCAAGGGCTGCCAAATGAATGAAGAGATTCTATGCAAATGTGAAAATTCCACAGCATACACTTATCTTAATCTCAGGAAAATGTCCAACTCTTAATCCTGACAGCATTCTGGAATTGCGAAGATGGTGCCAAAACTTCATTTCAGGTCAACTAGCCCATGAGTGTTCACAGTTCCTTTCCTCTGGGTCCTTCATATGTTAAAAGGGACCAGACCTTCAGGGCTGTGTGTCCTTCCAGTCCTGATAAGTTACGATGACTTCCCAATGGGCTTCCTTAACACTAATGCAAACCAAAATTCTTACCCCAAAGGGCATTGTTAATAGTACCAACGGCAATAACACAATAAATACATCTTGTGTGTTTATTATGTATATGCTGGATGGGCACTCTTCTAAGCACTTTATAAGGACTGACTCATTTTACCCTTAAAACAACCCTAGGAAATGGGTTCCATTATTATCCCCACTTTCCAGATACAGAGACTGAGGCACAGAGAGGGGGAAAACATGCCCAGGTTCCCAGAGCTGGCAATGATGGAGCTGGGATTCAAATCCAGCCAGTCTGGCACCAAGAGTCAACAGGCTTATCCACTATTTAACTGTATACTTGATTTAAGGAACTTTTTATGGCCTCTCAGCACCCCCAATGTATGGCTGCTAATATTCCCAAGGTCTAAGTAAAGTTAGAGCAAGGCTGAGGCATGAGTAGCCATGGACTACAGCTCACTGGCGAGCCCCAGTGTCTGTGGCAATGGTACTGGCCACGCTGCAAACCCTGCAGACACGCAGGACTCCTGAGATGTCTGTACGCCTCTCCTGAGAAACAGAGGCCCCTGTGATTAGGGATCTGCTGTGACTCAAGAGGCTAATAGCAACTGGCTGATGTGTCTTTCAAACAAGCCTTTCCAACTGGAAATAAATCAAGAACGTTTTCCGTTGAGCCCTCTGGTCTCCAATAAATCTCCTGTATCATGTAATAAATGAACAGTCCCAAGTTCCTCCCTCTGAGACACCCAAAGGGCAACTTCAATGGGTTGAGGCCACTTTTAGATTCAGGGTGGAGCCCCTCTGGAGGGAGAAATGCCACCCGGGCCGTTAGGGTGGCCAAGAGGACAGAGGGATCACGGGGCCCAGCACCCGGGGATCTCTTCACCAACATGGGAAGAGGTTTATCAGTGTGAGCTTTTAGGAAGATTCCAAAAAGGAGCTCTCTAAGAGTGTCTATTGTTTAACCTACTCTGGCACCAAACTCACAGGAAGGTTGGTAGTTCAGGATTCTGACCTCTGTGCTATGCTGTCAATTATAGCAGGTTTTAGGTAAGGTCATTCTTACTTGGATAAGCCATAGCTGACCCACAGGAAGGTTGGTAGTTCAGGATTCTAACCTCTGTGCTATGCTGCCAATTATAGCAGTTTTTAGGTAAAGTCATTCTTACTTGGATAAGCCATAGCTGACCCATGACACCATTAATCTTAACTTTCTTTCCCACCAGCCTCAGATCAAGGGAAATAGGTTTCTCTAGTAAAATCACCCCACCTCGTTTCCAAACTTTGCCTAAATTCCAGGGCCTGAGACGAACAGCTTTTTGGTTTTACCCCAGTTGTTTCCTGAGTAGAAAATCACAGGATCTGCTGGGAGTACAGCACTGTGTAATTTTCACCCAACTTGCCATTACCTACATCTTCCCAAACTTTC